CCCATGAACCACCTGTGCTGAGGACTATTTACTACTTCTCTGTAACTCAGCTCACTTATTCACAGAAATAAACTTACTAAAGGAAAATTATTATCTCTCTACCACAAACAGAAAGCAATCATTTGCCAGAATAATTAAAATAACTACTGCATGTAACTATTAACACTTTAAAAAAATTATCTGGCCAGGCATGGTAGCTCACACCTGTTACTGCAGCACTTTGGGATGCCAAAGTAAGCTGATCAGAAGGTCAGGAGATCGAGGTCATCCTGGCTTCCACAGTGAAACCCGTCTCTACTAAAAATTACAAAAAATTAGCCTGGCATGGTGGTAAGTGCCTGTAATCCCAGCTACTAAGGAGGCTGAGGCAGAAGAATTGCTTGAACCTGGGAGGCAGAGTTGCAGTGAGCCAAGGTTGCACCACTGCGCTCCAGCCTGGGTGACAGAGTGAGACTCCATCTCAAAAAAAAGAAAAAAAAAAATTATCCATATGCCACCACCACCTAAAATAAACCATCCCACACCCTGTGAAGCACAGTTTTACAGCATGGGCTTAACGTTCCTTCTGTTTATCTGAACTGGGACAAGTGGAGACTTTTGGTCTCCCATGCTTTTGGAATACAATCCTATAAAGCTGCTTCTGCAGCACTCACTCCTCCTACTCAGAGGTTTTCCAATTACTGTAAAGTTCTTCATCCAGAGCTTTGACTTTGCCTCTTTGCTTGACCAGTTGAATGTGTCTTTCTTTGACTTCGTGATTATTCCCATCGATTGCCACACCTGTGATGTAGATATTTTTTGTTATTTTGGGACTTAAGCTTTGTCTCACATACCTGGCACAGGTGCTCTGCAGGGTCAGGGCTGCACGCCCCGGGCTGTCTGTTAATGGCAGGTTGGAGAGCTGTACAGTTCTCAGGAAATCTACTTTGAAAGAAGAGGCTGTGACCATGGCCATGCTTAACAAGTAGGGAAGCTCCTGCCTCCTCCTGGGCTACAGCTGCCTCCAGCCCAGTTCCTGCCCAGGGTGAGCCCCTCGGGATGCTTCCCCACAGCAGGCGCTACCAGGCCCTGGCTGATGGAAATGGCCCAGGCCAGGGATTTACCCCAAGGGCTCTCTGCATTGTGATGTTGTTGCCAGTATCTCCACTGCATTAGTGTTCCTCCCATCAGACTTGCCTCATGTTAAAAGTTGACAGGGATCTAAAATCATCTGGCTCCCCCTCTCTCCTCGGGCTGCATGATTAAACAGGGTAAACAGATTAAATATCCACCTCTGTAGTGAATGGAGGCCTGAACTCTGAGACAGCCACCCAGTGTAGCATTGTGTAGCCACTGAGAAAGCTACTTAGAAAGAGTTTAGGATCATAGAAATGCTAAGTGAAAAGAGGAGAATGTAAAATTACAAAACTGCATAATTATAATTAGGTAAAACAAAAAATGTCAACATATAACACCTCTACCCTCCTCCGCCGCAGACCATCCCAACAGACAACAGCAACCAGAGGAGGGACTCAAAGACTGACAGGGGTCCTTTTTTAATGAAGCCACCTCACTGAGGTAGGGCTGACATACACAAAGCTGTACATAATGTCTACAACCTGATGGGCTTGGGGTCAAGGACACCCCCATGAAACCACCACCGCAGGCTACACCATAAACCTATCACCTCTCAGAGCCTCCTCCTGCCCTCTTTATGTATTGTGTGTGATAGGAGGACTTAACATAAGCTCTACCCTCTTGGCTGGGCTAGCTGGCTAACACCTACGATCTCCGTGCTTTGGGAGGCAGAGGCAGGAGGATTGTTTGAGGCCATGCTGGGCAACACAGTGAGACATCATCTCTACAAAAAATAAAACATCAGCCGGGTGAGGTGGTGTGTGCCTGTAGTCCCAGCTGCTGAGGTGGCTGAGGATGGCGTGAGGCAAGGAGTTTCAGGATGCAGTGAGCCAATGTCCTGGAACTGCACTCCAGCCTGAGTGACAAGAAAACTAAAAACTAAAAATTAAAAAATCTACTCTTCTGGCAAATATTTATGTGCTCAATACAGTGTTGTTAAGGTCAGGCACCAAGCTGCAGAGCAGCTGTCCAGGACTTACTCATGCTGCATGGCTGCAGCCTTGTACCCTCACTGCTTCCTGATGGAGGAACTTTTGAAGAAGGAGGTTTTCTGCTTGTTTTTTTGTTTACCCTTGTTTCTTCTTTCTATTTTTCTATAGGTTTCAAATTTCTTTACCAGACAGTGTTATTTTTATATTGAAAAAGAACATAAAGAAGTAGCAGTAAAAGGCCCGGGTTGTAAATCCCCTACAGAGGAGATGGGTGAGGGCAGAGCAGGGGAGCTCCATCCCCAGAAACAAGGCAGGTGGCCGCAGACCCACCTGCCAAGTCGTAGCCTCTGTACTCCAGCCGCTGCAGACCCTTGACGGGGGTTTCAAAGATCTCCTTCCTTGTCCGGGGTACTCTATAGTTCATGTAGGCAAAGATTCCTGTTCAAAGAGAAAAAAAATAGAGCATTCATAAAATACTGAGTTCCTGTTTGAAAGAAAACGCTTCTGGGGATGCACAAAGGTGGCATCACAAAGGGCTCCCAGGGGCTTGCAGAGGTGGGTGTGGCCCTGCCCGGGCACAGCTGAAGAATGGTGCACCCCTTCCTCCCCTGAGACAAAAAAAAAAAAAAAAAAAAAAGACGGAAAGCCTGTGCCACGTGTCTTGGGCTGGCAGTTCCACCGCTGAGAACTTATCCTGTGCTGTACTTGCAGGAGGCAGTTTTAGTGTGGCAATGTCCATAATAGCAAAGGCCAGCAATGAAACCCAACAACCTTGGGACATCCGGAAGTCCCCACCTCCATGCACTCCGCAAATTGCAGAGCACACATCTACCAGCACCATAGGAAGTGACAGCAGCCCCTGGGGCAGCTGGGACAGGTGCTGGGGTCTTTGTTCCCACAGTACCCCTCTCCATAAGGCAGGAGTCTTACCTTAAATAAGCACTACTTTTACAACAGCAAAAATAAAACCACCTCATGCCCTTTGGCCCCTGCAGAATCCTTTTGTTGAAGGTAGGCCTATGAGTCAAGAAGATTTCATTCCACTTGACTTTTTGTATTTGTATTTCAAAATGATATTTTTCCAAATAGGAAGTTAGCTGTTGTGTTGGTTCTGCCTTCCAGAGTCCTCCACTTCCAGTTTGTGATAAGGGATCCCTGATTTCCTCTCTCCTGCCCCGTGCACGCCCCATCCCATCATCCCTCTGTCCTTTCATCCTCTCTCCCACCACTTAGGAAAACTTCCCCACCTCAAAGCTCAGCTCCAGTCCCCACCCCGGGCAGATGTGCCCCCTGCAAGTACAGCGTAGAAGATTTATTTTCCCACCTCAGTGCTCTCACAACATGGGACACCCACAGTCCCCACCAAGGGCAGGCTGATGCTTCTATCTTTGTATTCCTTAGTGTGTGTACCCAGTCCTGTTCAATAAATATATGTGGAATAGAATAAGTGACGAGTGTGTATCCATATCCATGGAGGGAAGCAATAGTATGGATCATAGAAACGTCACTGGGTTTCAGGCACATTCACAGTAACTGTCCTCGTTGGCTTGGGCTGCTATAACAAAATACCACAGATGCCTGGTAAGCCACAGAAATTTATTCTTACAGTTCTGGAGGCTATAAATTCCAAGATCACGGTGCCAGTAGATTCAGTGTCCGGTGAGGGCCCGTTCCTCACAGGCAGCGACTTCTCATTCCAACCTCATATGGTGGACGGGGCAGGGTCTCTCTGGAGTTTTTAAATAAGGGCACACTCATCCCATTGGTGAGGCCCCTGTCCCCATGACCTAATCACTTCCCAAAGACCCACCTCCTAAGAACATCACCTTGCAGGTGAGGATTTCAACAGATGGATGACGGGGGAGCACAAACTCTCAGACCACAACAGCAACTCACCTTACTGAGAACTCCCTGTGGGTCAGGCACTGGGCTACCAGTTCCCACAGAGTCAGCCTATGCTCGAAACAGCCTCCGAGGGTAGTCCATGGCCCTTCTCTTACCTTGTGGACCATAGCCTGGGGAGCCTGTGACTCATCCAGAGGCAGAGTGGAACTGAGAAGCCCCGACTCAGGACTTCAGCACTCCCACCCACTGGCCAGCGCCCCGGGATGAATGCCACTGGGGTTACAAGAAGGTTTATCTTCCCAACTACATTCTGCTGGGATGAGAGAAAGGTCTGACCAGGATTGAAATTTTTCCAGAGGTGAACCCCAGAGAGGACAACCTGCCCACAGATAATGGAGGGCTGACTGTCATTACACCATAAACCACTTGGAATATCTATGGTCATTGAGAAGATCAGATTCATGTTAATATGCTACATCTGAATAAATGATTAAACTTCAGTGAAATGAATACTATATTCCTAAACAGTGAGTGAGGTCCCATCATATAAACTTAATAAAATTCATATATAAACAGTCAAAAATAGGCAATAAAATTAAATAACACTATAAATTATACTTAACATTCTTACTGTAACCTACTGTACACAGGATATGTTTGCACATATGTATTAAGGTAGGGGATTTATATATAAAGATATGTACACTGTGTTTTCTAAACAGTTATAGGCATTTTCTTTTAAAATCAGCCAAGGGCAATTTTCTTGGTAGGCTATTTTTATCCTCCTTGCTGTCTTTAGTTAAAGTGAGAGGAGCTGAATGTAAGAGCTGTGTGTGCAGTTCAGGCTCCTCTCTGGTGGGGCCAAAGTGCCCCCACAGAGGGCCGCCACAGGGCTGCTGCTAAGTATTTATGTTTCCAGAGCTCACACTACAGCCCCCAAAAAGACAGCTTTTTTTAATATGGTTTGGCTGTGTCCCCACCCAAATCTCATCTTGAATTGCAGCTCCCACAGTTCCCACGTGTTATAGGAGGGATCTTTTAGGAGGTAAATGAATCATGGGGGCAGATCTTTCCTGTGCTATTCTCATGGTGGTGAATAAGTCTCAGAGATCTGATGGTTTTATAAAGGGGAGCTTCCCTGCACAAACGCTTCTCTTGTCTGCTGCCATGTGAGATGTGTCTTTCACCTTCCGCCATGATTGTGAGGCCTCCCCAGCCATGTGGAACTATGAGTCCATTAAACCTCTTTCTTTTGTGAATTGCCAGTCTTGGGTATCTCTTTACCAGCAGCATGAAAATAGACTAATATTGGGCCCAGCACAGTGGCTCATGCCTGTAATTTCAGCACTTTGGGAGGCCAAGATGGGCAGATCACCTGAGGTTGAAAGTTCAAGACCAGCCTGGCTAACACAATGAAATCTTGTCTCTACTAAAAATACAAAATTAGCCAGGTGTGGTGATGGGTGCCTATAATCCCAGCTACTCATGAGGCCAAGGTAGGAGAATAATTTGAACCTGGGAGGCAGAGCTTGCAGTAAGCTGAGATCAAGCCACTGCACTCCAGCCTGGGCAACAAGAGCGAAAATCTGTCTCTAAATAAATAAATAAATAGATAGATAAACAAATAAATAAGAAAATGGACTAAGACATCTTTTAATGCCAATATTAAAAGATTTTGGCCAGGCATGCTGGCTCACACCTCTAATCCCAGCACTTTGGGAGGCTAAAGTGGGTGGATCATGTGGTCAAGACATCGAGACCATCCTGGACAACACGGTGAAACCCTGTCTCTACTAAAAATACAAAAATTAGCTGGACATGGTGGCACAAACCTGTAGTCCCACCTACTTGGGAGGCTAAGGCAGGAAAATGGCTTGAACCCAGGAGGTGGAGGTTGAAGTGAGGCAAGATCTCACCACTGCATTCCAGCCTGACAGAGTCAGACTCCATATCAAAAAGAAAAAAAAATTAACAGTTTTCTTGAGATATAACTCATGTACAATAGCATCCTCCCATCTAAAGCATGTGATTCAGTGGTTTAGTATATTCAGGGTTGTGCAATCAGCACCATTGATGTTTAGGTGAAACTTTCTTTTTTTTGAGACAGGGTCTCAATCTGTTGCCTAGCCTGGAATGCAGTGGTATGATCTCGGCTCATTGCAACCTCGAATTCCTGGACCCAAGCTATCCCCACTGCCTTGGCTTCCCAAAGTACTGAGGTTCCAGGCGTAAGTCACAGTGCCCAGTTTCGGTGAAACTTTTCATAACATCCTGGACAGCAGCAGGGATGTAAGGGATCCTTGTCCTCGGGATCACCAGCTGTGTTTGGACCCAGCTGGGAGGCCTGGTGGCCACTCAGGCACAGCGTGGGAACTGACTGCAGTGAGAAAAGCTGCCAAGGAGTGATTTTCACCATCTTTGCACAAGAACGCATAAGTCTCATTTTCACCATGAGCCCTCTTTCTTTCATGAAGGAAGCTATTTCTTTCCTTTTGCAGCTCATCTTCTTGGCTGGATTCTCCCTGCACTCTACTGCACTGAAGTGAATAAAACAACATTCACATTGCTCTTATTTAAAAATAAAACAAAGCTCTTTCCCAGGAATTTCTCCTGCTATTTACATCAGAATTTCTTTTTGGAATACCTTCCATCCATAAATATAAGCTACAATGAGAATCTATTTCTTCAAACTTAGGAGGTTGGTAAAGATCAAACAGGTTGACAGTAAGTGAGAGTTTAAATTCACCTACCCCTCTTTGGAAGGCAATTTGGCAATCTTGCAAAATTAAAAATGTACACATCTGTGGACCAGAGCTGTTGGGCTTCTAGGAAGGTACCCAGCGGATGTCTTTGCAGAGATGAATGCACACACGTATGAGGATAGCTGTTTAGGGCCGTTGTGGTTGCCAAAGATGAGCAACAGCCCAATATCTGGCAGGGGTGGGCAAGGGACAGCGCAGCCACACAGCAGGGCCTTCTGCAGGCAGCCCTCGACAGAGCAGGGGAAAGCTGTGCATTCTCTTGGAAGGCAATCTGAATCTCCAAGCTGTGTCATGGGAAAAAGAAGCTTGCAGAGCATGAGTAAATTACACAAGGGCTGCGAGAGGAATATGGAGCATTTCTAGATGGGCACCACGACCAGAGGGCAGTCAGTGGTAGCCTCTGAGGTTACTGGACATCGAGCAGAAACTTCCTTTCCATCGCATGTGTCCTGCTTTTATGGTTAAGACATTTCGCCATGTGCCAGTATAATATGTGACCATGTGCCACTATGCAAATTAGGTGGTAGTGAGTACACGATCCTTATCTAGATGCTAGATAATGTCTAAATAAGCAAAGACTTCATTCTATCCAAGGGGCGATGTCCTAGCCAAGCCCTGAGGGTTGACATGGACCAACTGTTTGGACAGTGGGGTACATGACACAGACCTGCCTGGTTCACCCTGATTTCCTGTGGCAGCTGTGTTCTGGTGAGGGGGACCTGACAGCTTCTGGGGACAGAAGGAGTGATTGTGTGGCACCTGGGACCTCCAGCCAAGCCAGACCCCTGTCTGGCTCTGCTT